CCCTGTCCATGTATGCTATGCTCAGTGTATAATATTTTTACTAACAGTCCTAGTTGGGGGCCAGAGAGATAGTACAGTAGGTAAGGCACTTACTGGCATGTACTTGTCCAGAGCTTGATCCCCAGCAATCCATATGATCCCCCTGAACCCGACCCCACCCGGAGAGATCCTCGAGCACAGAGTCAGGAGTAAGCCCTGAGCAAAGCTGAATGTGGTCCAACTCCCACCCCCTGATTAATTAATTAATTTTTTTTTTTTTGCTTTTTGGGTCACACCCCTGGCTCTGCACTCAGGAGTCACTCCTGGAGGTGCTCAGGGGACCATATGGGATGCTGGGAATCGAATCCAGGTCTGCCACGTGCAAAGCAAACGCCCCACCCTCTGTGCTATCTCTCCAGCCCAAATTAATTTTTCTTAAAAATAAAAAAAAAACAGTACTAGTTTGAGGGCTCAGGAATATGGGTAAAAGGCTTTCCACATACCAAGTTCTGGATTTCGGTTCCATTCCCAGAACCACGTGGCCCCAGAGAATACCAGGTGTGGTCCCTCACTAATATTGACAGAAAACGAAACAAACCCCAAATAGTACTGGTTCTATTTGCAGAAATGGACAAGGAAGTACCAAAGCAAGTGGAGTTAAAACTGGGCTCCTAATAACAGAGTATTCCATGGGCAAAAATAGTAATTCTACTAATCATTCACCTCTCTTAACCTTAGATATACCCAAAAGAGCCAGAGCCAGAGCTCAGTGGACTGAGCCCTTTGTAGGCAGGAACCCCAGGTTAATCCCTGGGACTACTAGGACCCCTGAGCACTGCTGGGAATAACCCCCAAGCACAGAACCCCTGAGAATTGCCAGGTGTGACCCCCTCCAAAATAACACATAACACAAACGCATACACACTCCAAATATTTCAAAAATCCAATGACTGTGGGTCAGAGAGACAGTATAGTGGGTAAGGTGCTTGCCTTGCATGCAGCTGCTTCAGATTCAATCCCTGGCACCACATATGGCCCCCCGCGTCCCACCAGGCATCATCCCTGAGCTCAGAATTGGTATAGGTCATCCCCGAACCCCCTCCTGCCAAGAAAAACCTAATGATCTTAGCACACAGATCTACCAGTTTTCGTTGATCCAGGGCACTGAGGGGTATGTAGATCAATGCCTGGAACTTGCAGGGTGATTAGCTCATCAGATAAACGTTTGGATCCTAAAATAAAGTAGCCTAAGAGAATGACTACAGGATCCAGAGGCAGGAGGGAGAGAGTATATTCTGTTGGCGAAATCATGAACTGGGCATACAAAAGAAGTGGTAATTGGGGTGAGACTTGGCGGGTGAACCAAATTTTGTTCTGCAGGGATGGAGAGGAAGAAACTTTCAGAGCTAAGGGGCGTTATAAACAAAAGCACAGAGTCAGGAAAAAGCATGGGACAGGGGCAGGATACAGCAAGTAGGGGCCAAGAGATAGCACAGCGGGGAGGACGCTTGCCTTGGAATATGGCCGATTCGTGTTCCATCTCCGGCATCCCATATGGTCCCTGAGCACCGCCAGGAGTAATTCCTGAGTGCAGAGCCAGGAAGAACCCCTGCCTGAGCAACACTCGGTATGGCCCCAAAACAACAACAACAACAGTGAAAAGCAAACAGCAAGTAGACCCGGTTTTCTGGAGAGGGGTCTGGGTCAGGGAGGAGAGCAGCCGTAACTCTTTCACATGAGAAGGAAGTGCTTGTACCCAGTATTAAAATCATGGGGTCAACTGCTAAAGATTAATGAAGTAAGACCAAGAAATTATAGAAATGATGGATTTAAAATCCCTTAGCCCCTATTTTACAGACAAGAATCAAACATCCAGAACAAGTGGCTGAAGAGCTAGTACAGAGTTAAGATGTTTGCCTTGCATGTGGCCGACCCAGGTTCAATCCCCAGCATCCCACGGGGTCCCCCAAGCACCACCAGGAGTGACCCCTGAGCACTGCTAGGTGGGGCCCCAAAACAACAACCAAGAAAACCAAAAAATCAAACTCAAAGAACCTAGAACAAGAATCCAGAGGGCCTGCCAGACTTCAAGCCAAATTCTCTGCATTATGCCAGTTGCCCCAAAGGCCTCTGATAGCAGAGTCGGAAGGACGAGGAAACCAGGCAGAAGAGCAGTGCGGCAGCCACTACAGGGCCCAGGAAAGATGCTCCAGGGGAGGGGGGAGGGCGGAGGGCGGATCGGACATCAGAAAAGGGGGAGCCCTGCTCTCTCCTTCCTGGAACTCAGAGCCCCACAACACAGCGAGGTTGCTCACACGCAGAGGCCGCGAGATTTCAAGGAGTGGATGGGCCATCCTTGTCTGACCTAGGGCCTCTTACCTGCTGATCTGCCTCTGAGAGTTTGGGTTCCCTCAAAAATCAGCCCACAGTGGAGGCAGCAGCAGCCCTGGATTTGGCTTTCAGAGGCCATGGGTGAATTTTAGGGCTCTGAGGGCTTAGCTAGGGGCCATGGGTGAATTTTAGGGCTCTGAGGGCTTTGCTAGAGGCCATGGGTGAATTTTAGGGCTCTGAGGGCTTTGCTAGAGGCCATGGGTGAATTTTAGGGCTCTGAGGGCTTTGCTAGAGGCCATGGGTGAATTTTAGGGCTCTGAGGGCTTTGCTAGAGGCCATGGGTGAATTTTAGGGCTCTGAGGGCTTTGCTAGAGGCTCCCCCGGCAAACCGTGGCTCCAACCACTTCCTCTCTTGGCTCCTTCTCTCTCGGTCCCCTCGCATGCTGGTCTCTGGGTCACCAGCATTCCTCAGATCTGCTCTCTTCCTCGCCCTGACCCGGAAGCACACCAGCTCCGTGGCTTTTTGGGTCATGCCCGGCGATGCTCAGGGGTTACTCCTGGCTCTGCACTCAGGATTTACTCCTGGCGGTGCTCAGGGGACCATATGGGATGCTGGGATTCGAACCTGGGTTGGCTGCGTGCAAGGCAAACACCCTACCTGCTGTGCTATCGCTTCAGCCCCAGCTCGGTGGCTTTTAATGCCACCGTTTTCACCACTGACAGTGGGGCTGTCACGGGTCAGAGCGAGTCTGACAGGCGCAGAGGTGGCAAAAGTTTGACAGGAGGCGTGAAAGGCGAGAGGCTGCTTCTGTGGAAACTCAAGTCGGTGCTTTTCTCCCTGGCCCGCAGGCTGCAACGGCTTCATAAAGACTGAAGCCAGCGAAAGCAGGCTTGCACGATTGCACACAGTAGGTCCCCAACAAATGTGCCAGTGAAATTCGCTGTGGCTTCCCTTCCCCGAGGTCCTCCTGGAGGCTGGGTCAACCCCAGGCTCCAGAGAGAAGACTCAGCCGAACACGGTTTCTGTGGACACCCGTTCAAGGTGCTGCCGTGGCCACAGGCTGGGAAGCCTGGTGGTTTCCTGCGCCACCTCCAGGGAGGTGAGCTCCATCTGTTGATGGTGAGCTTGTGAGCTGACCTCTTTCCACCTTGACTTCCTCATCTGTAAAGTGGGATAATAGCAGGTGGCTGAGAGGAGTGAGTGAACAAGATAGGACAGATAAAGTGCTCAGCATAATAAGTACTTAATGACTTCTAGCTGTTTTTAATAAGGCAGTGCTGGAGTTTCAGTCTACTGAGCAGCTGGTAATTGGTAGCTTCGGGGTAGCGGCTAGAAAAGGTGACAAAGGGGCCACCAAGCTGCACCAGGAGGGTCGGGGAACAGACGGAGAAACCTTAGCCCGTCTTTCAAAGGGTGATGAAAGTGTCCCTTCCTGCCTCCCAACTAGAGCAAGAGTGCTGGCCGCCACCTCCTTAAGCCTCAGCCTGGCGATCGTGCCTGGAGCAGGCCTGAGAGGCGCGTACGTGGTTGTAAGAAACACACACAGACACACACACACACACACAGACACACACACACACAGTGCAGGGGCTAGATGGTGCGCTATGTGACTTTTAAGTATCTATTCACTTTTGTGTGGGTTCCTCTATTTTTCCTTTTTTTAAGTTTATTCCCAGACCGGAGACCCCACCGGGTCCCTGAAGGCGCCCCTGGAGCTTTCTGCTTTGGGAGCTCCGGGAACTGGAACGTTGGTTGGTCACCCACCGAATCCACTCCGGCTGGGTGGCACTGGGTGGGCTCTGGGTCTCCGGGTTTTGGCTTCCAGGCACCGCGGCTCCTTGGTGAGCACCCTGACTTCACCGCAGCCCTCCCACCCTCCACTTTCCCTGCCCCCGCCACACCCCCCCCTCGGCTTCAGGCCCTCAGTTTCCCTCCTGCCTGTTCTGGCTTGCAGCCCTTCGCAAACCGCCGCTTCCCGCCGGGGGGCTCAGAAGCCGCAGAAGTCTGGCCTGGGTGACACCCGGGGCTCCGGGGCTCGTTCCCCAAACCCCACCAGTGCTTCCCACCCCCTGTATCCCCTGAACCCCAGGGGTTCCTGCTCTCCCCTCGGTGGGGCCTGGAGCTTTGCCTTCCCTCCCCTCCCCTCCCCTCCTCTACCTCCCGCCCCTCCCACCCTCCCCTGCCGGTCATTTCCCAGTCTGCACCCTCGGGTGGGGTTCTCGTGCCGCACGCCCCCCCTTCTCCTCCTCTCCCGCCTCTGCTCCCCCCCCTTCTTCCTCACACCCTGCCACACATCTGTTTCTAATCCCAGCCGTTCCAGACGCCTGTTTCAGACAAAAAACGCTCCTCCCACCCTCGGGAACCTGGCACCAAAAATTCTTGAATAAGCCTCTCCCCGCCCCCCACCCCCCAGTGTCCCCCCACATGCTCCAGAGCCGGAGCGCCCCCGCCTGCACCCCCCTCCCAGGACCCTCCCCATCAAACGGTCGGCGGCCAAACTCGCCCCCCGGGAAGCCCCCCAACGCCGCCCCGCAGTCCGGCGGGGCCCAGATGTGAGCCGCTGGCCATGGCCGCCTGGGCGGCCCCTGCCTGCCAGATGTGCCCGGGGAAGGGGGACCCCCGCGGCCGCGGCAGGGGCGGGCGACGGCGGGGGGCGGGGAGGCTCAGCCCGCGCCCCGCACACACTCACCGAGCCAGACGAGGACGAGGAGGGACATCCCGCTGCCCGGACGCGGGCGCGTCCACGCTCGGCCGCTGCCGCGCTCCGGGGCCCTGGGGGCGAGCTGGGCGCGGCGCGTCGGGGTGCGCGCCGGGGGGCCGCCCCCATGTGCCGGCGGGCCCCCTGCCCCTGCGCCCCGCTGCGCCCCGCTGCGCCCCGCTGCGCCCCGCTGCGCCCCGCGCTCGGCCCCGCGCCTGGCACACGGCTCAGGGAGGCGCGGCGCGGCGCAGGGGCGCTCCCGCGTCGTGGAGCACTTTGCCCTGTTTGGAAAGAAAAAGGAGTGAAGAAAGAGAGGGGGGACAGCCGGGCCGCTGCGGCCACATGGTTCCTCCTCCCGCAGCCCCTCCCTCCGCGCGCCCGCCCGCCCGCCCCGCGCCGCCCGCCCGCCAGCCCGCCCGCCCGCGTGTGCAGGGGGAGCCGGGCCGGGCACCCCGGGGCGCGGGGGGCGCGCGCGAGGGCGGCTCCCCGGACTCCCCGGCCGCGCTGTCGCCTCCCCGGCGGGTCCTGCTCGCCGTCCGCGGCTCGCAACTCCCGGGCTGCCCGCACGGACATTCCTCCCTCCCCTCCTCACCCCTCTTTTCTCCGTGCCTCCCCTTTCCCTAGGGCTGGACCTGGCCCAGGCATTCTGTCCCCCACCCCCACGCCCCCTAGACTCAGGGGCTCTGGGACCACCTCCCTGGACCACTGGGGGAGGGGGGTGTCAGAATCCAGAGACAGGTGGGGGGGCGCCATCAGGAAGCACCGGAGCGCAGCACACTGCACTTAGCCTTGGCCCTGATCTGGGCCGCCCCCAGTTCCAGAGAGAAGGACCCACAGTCGGTGCCAGGGACCCTGCCAGGGAAACCTGGAGAGCAAAGGGGAGGGTGCAGAGCCGTGCGCGGATGCTTTTCAGGACCAGCCCGCAGGACCCCGCAGCTTGGGCTCCAAGAAGCCCCGAGTCCACCCCCCTGACCTCTGCCTCCCAGGAGTCCCGTGCAGTGAAGCTCCAGAAACCCATTGACTTCAACTTCTCCCTGGCGGGTCTCCCAAGTTAGGACCAGAGATGAGGAGGGTTGGGAGAGCCAGAAGTGCTATCGGGGATGGTCCTTCTGCCCCCGCCACCCCATCCCACGTGCGCCTCGTTTCTTCCCAGGCGTCTTTCCAAGTCTCTGATGTCAGGGCTCCTAGCCCCTGCCAGAGATATAGTCCTTGCTGGTTGTAATGAAAACCAGCCTCCATGCACAGCGCAGATCTGGGCTCCAAGGGGGTGGAGTGGGGTGGGGTGTGAGGGATGAGGAAAGCAGGGGCTGCTCTGGGCTTGGGCATCAGAGGTGGGTCCGCCTTAGCAGAGTTCCAGCATCCATCCAACCCTCTCTCCTTTCACCTCCATTCTGCACCATCTGCCTTTCCTTAGTCTTGAGGACACAGAATAAAACATAGTCCTTGACATTTTTTTAGACCTTTGGAACTAGATATCATAGTACCAACTATGGCCAGGAAGCAGATGGATGATCTCATACTTTATTCCATTTTATTTCTGGTTTGGGAGCCACACCTGGTTCGGGTCTCCGAGCTTGGGAAGTAGGCAGTAATGAAGGTGGAACCCCAATCTCCAGCATCAAAGCGTGCATGTCAGCCCTCTGAGCCATCTCCCAGACCCATACTTATACTTATTAAGATTCGATTTTTATGACAATACGAAGAGATAGGCATTTAACGTTTTTCATTTTTGGGGGGCCAGTGGGTAGGGCGTTTGCCTATGTGGCCAACCCACATTCAATTCCCATCATCCCCTATGATTCCCCAAGCAGTGCCAGGAGTAATTCCTGAGTTCAGAGCCAGGAATAACCATTGGGTATTGCTGGGTGTGACCCAAAAAGAAAAAAAAAAAAGTAAGCCTTTAGCATTGCTGGGTGTAGCCTTCAAACAAAACAAAACTAAAATACTAGAAATGTTCATTTTAAGAAAGCAAACTTGGAGGGAAAGTCACACTGGTTGTGTTGGGACACCAAATGTTTGAAACAACTGTATAATGAACAACCTTGTAAACCACAGGGTTTTGAATAAAAATTAATTTAAAGAAAAGAAAAGAAAAAGAAATTAACCTAGAGAGGTTAAGTATCTTGCTCCATAGCCAAAATTGGGAAACAACCCAAGTGACCAAGAACAGATGATTGGATAAAGAAACTCTGTTCCATAGACATACTGGAATACTACGCAGTCATGAAAAAAGATGAAGTAATGCAATTTTCTGTTACAGGGATGGATCTGGAAGTATCATGCTCAGTGAAGTTAGGGAGAGAGACAGACACAACATGATCTCTCAGATGCCAGATGTAAAAAAAAAACCGTGGTGGGTGAATAACAAATACTGAAAGGCAATAGAAACAAAGAGACATGAGACTCCTCCCAGGAGGAAGCTTGCCGCTGGGGTGGGGTAAGGTGGGGAGAGATGCTAGAACAGGGAAAGGTACAATGTGGGAAGAGGACAGAAGGAGCACAGAGTGCTGTGAGGAACTGAAGCTACTGCCATAGAGTCAGGCTAGGGGGTAGGATGGATGCTGGGCACACGGGGAAAGGGAAATGGACACTGGTGAAGGGATTGGTGCTGGAATATTCCAAGGTGGAAGTTCAATGAAGAACAACACTGTAACTTTGTAATTCACAGTGATTCAACAAAATTGAAAAGTCTTGGGGGCTGGAGCGATAGCACAGCGGGTAGGGTGTTTGCCTTGCACGCAGCCAACATGGCTGACCCGGGTTCGATTCCCAGCATCCCATGTGGTCCCCCAATTACACTGCCAGGAGTAATTCCTGAGTGCATGAGCCAGGAGTAACCTCTGAGCATCGCCGGGTGTGACCCAAAAAGCAATAAATAAATAAATAAATAAATAAAAATTGAAAAGTCTGACCCAGGTCACAAAATATTACAACCCTTCTTTCTAGTCCAATGCTAATATTCTTTTTCTTTACATATTCTGTTTTTTATTTTTCCAACTTTATTTATTTATTTATTTTTCCAAGCCTCAGCCAGTTTTAAAGAGGAATATAGCTGTTTTACAAACAACAGCTCAGTCCAAGGGCTGGAGCGATGGCACAGTGGGTAGGGCATTTGCCTTGCACATGTCTGACGCGGGTTCAATTCCTCCATTCCTCTCGGAGAGCCCGGAAAGCTGCAGAGAGTATCCTGCCTGCATGGCAAAGCTTGGCAAGCTACCCGTGAAGTATTCGATATGCCAAAAACAGTAACAAGAAGTCTCACAATGGAGACGTTACTGGTGCCCGCTCGAGCAAATCGACTAACAATGGGAGGACAGTGCTGCAGTGCTATTTTCCCAACATTAATATCCTATGAAAAGTTCACCCTGCCCAGCATTCTGGGGGTGGAGAACCAGGGCCTCACACATGCAAGGCAAGTGTGACCAAAATTAATATTCTAAATTATTATTTTTATTTAGTTAGTTTTCTTTTGTTTGGGGGCCACACCCAGCAATGCTCAAGGCTTCCTCCTGGCTCTGAGCTCATGGATCACTACTACAGGGCTTAGGGGGCCATATGGGGTGCCAGGGATTAAACCTGACTCAGGCAAGGCAAACCTGCCTTGTGCAAGGCAATAATTGAAAAGTTACTTTTGGAAAAGGGCCAGGGGGACCCAGAGCAATAGTACAGCAGGTAGGGCCCTTGCCTTGCACATGGCCAACCTGGGTTCGATCCCTGGCATTCCATATGGTCCCCTGTGCACTACCAAGAGGAATTCCTGAGTGCAGCGCCAGGAGTAACCATTGAGAATTGGCAGGTATGGTCCTCAAACAAAACAAAACAGAAAGGAGGGGCAGTAATATTGCTTGTTAATAAAGGGTGTACCTTCCACTTTTTGATCTGGTTTTGATCCGCAGAAGCAGAGAAAAGAGGTAGAAATTTTAAGTTACAAATGCCTAAATTCTGTAACTTAAAAAAATTTTTTTTGATTTCTGGGTTTTGGTCCACAAATGGTGGCATTCAGGGGCTATGCCCAGCTTGTTCTAGGGTGTTGCTCCTGGCAGCATTGCTGGGAATTGCACCTAGGCCTCTTGTGTGCAACGAATCCACTTCAGCCTGTGGGGCTTCCCATCTCTCTCAACCCCCCCCCCCCCCCTTCTCTCTCTCAGCTATCTCAGTTTTTAGCTTGGATTCTTCATCTACTAGGAGAAACTAGAAATATTCAAAACTATAGTATGTCCAGGCTAGAGGGATAGCACAGTAGGTAGGGCGTTTGCCTTCCAAGCAGCCAACATGGCCGACCCGAGTTCGATTCCTCCGCCCCTCTCGGAGAGCCTGGCAAACTACCGAGAGTATCTCGCCCTCATGGCAAAGCCTGGCAAGCTACCTGTGACGTATTTGATATGTCAAACACAGTAACAATTGTCACAATGAAGATGTTACTGGGCCCGCTCGAGCAAATCGATGAACAACGGGAAGACAGTGACAAGTCACAGTGATAGTATGTCCAGGAGTGTATTAAAACATGTTAATTCCTCTAAGAGGTTGAAGGAGATAGAAGGGCAACCATATGGACAAAACAAAACAAAAAAATACTTTTACTATTTCTGTTTCAGAACCTTTTTCCTTTTTATTTGACATTTTGATATAATATCAAACATGAAAAAAAGTGGTAACTAGAATTCAACTTATTATTATTAGTATTATTATTTTTTTGCTTTTTGGGTCACACCAGGCGATGCACAGGGGTTACTCCTGGCTCTGCACTCAGGAGTTACTCCTGGCGGTGCTCAGGGGACCATATGGGATGCTGGGAATTGACCCCGGGTCGGCCACGTGCAAGGCAAACGCCCTACCCGCTGTGCTATCTCTCCAGCTCCCTGAATTCAACTAATTCTTGGCTATTTGTAAGAAACTTGAGTTTCTCCCTTTTTAGCATCACTTTCTAAAAGACATTTCGGTCAAAGTTTTAGAGGCTTGGACCCTAGCAACAGCACAGCGAGTTGGGAGCTTGCCTTGTACACTGTAGTCCCCTGAGCCCTTCCAGGATTAATCCCTAAGCACAAAGACAGGAGTAAACCCTGAGCCCCGCCCCCAAGCCCCGCCCCCCAAAACGGAATACAAGTTTTAGAGTTAGAAGCTAAGCCTCCAGGGCTGGTGACCTTTCTCCTGATCCTGGTGACCTGACCGAGGACCGGTGAGCACATGAAGGAAGATGAAATGGGAGTGGGCAACTGTGGGTTGAAATCCACATTGCTCAAGAGTCCTGCAAGCCTCGCTCATCAGCAGGTAGGTGAGGGAGGCTGGGATCGGCTCATAAGCTCACGCCTTTCCTAGGCCAATGTGTTACAACCAGAAGACATTTGGCACATTTTCCTTGGGGATCATCCAAGGGTCTCTGC